CAATGAAAGCACACAAATGCAGGCAAGGACCAATGAAAGCACACAAAGGGGCCAGCAGTAAATGGAAGCCATCTCCTTCTTACTCCCTGGAGAGCATTCCTAAATCTTTGAAAATGAAGATCTGCATGAAGGAACTTTCTAGTGTCAGGGGTGTTATGGTTCTGACCTCTAAAGAACTATCTAGGGTATGTCATTCCCTATGGCCTCAAAAGAAGACGTCATAAAAGCTGTGTCTGGTGACTCACACCTGTAATACCAGTACTTTAAGGTAGGTAGGATTGCCACAAATCTGAAGCCAGCCTGGACTACAAAGTGAGTTCCAGGTCAGCCTAGGTTATAAAGCAAAACCTTGTTTCAATAACCAAAGGTGTCCATAGATTGGATGGATGACTATAAGACACCAAAGCTTGCCAATGATCTCAAGCACGGTATTTACTTCGAGTACCCAGGCAGCTAGTTATAGGAAAAAACTAGAAAAAAGAAAAAGTAAAACTCTGAATCCACCTTTCTAATGCTCAGATCTTAAGGCTGAAAAATGGAGCTATCCCCAGTGTTAGTCACACCAGGTTTGCTCTGCTGAACTTAGTCCTTATACGACCATGCCTTGGGGTCAGGCCCAAGGACAGCAACTGTTGTTTGACACTTAAACTTGCATTCCGGAGACAGTCAGCTGCTGATCATGATGAGGGGCAAGGGAGGGAGAGGAGTGGAAAAGAGAGGAGGGAAAGTGATGGGAGGGGGAGGTGAGGAAGGGAGAACACAAGAACAAGGGAACCTAAATCCTGACCACACTGACATATTCACAAGAGTGAATGTCTTAAGCTAGAAAAACTTCCTTACTGGGAAGGCAAATTCAATATAGTAATGGGTCAGATTTGTTGCTCTTTTTTTTTTTCCCCTGTGAAGTCTGAATAAATGAAGCAAGTAGGATTCCTGTGTCCCAACCCCTTCTAGTTCTACTGGAGATGGCTTGGACCACATGTCCACTACAGATTGAGCCCTTGTCCAAAGATGGGAACACAGAGTTAGCAATAGACCAACATTCAAAGCTCCAACATTCAAAGGGGAAACAGGCTCAGCACTTCAAGCTAATGAAGCCCAGTATTTCCTGTATAAGCTCTGCATTTCCAAAGCCAAACAAAAGCCAAAGGGAGGAGGTGAGAAGGATGAGGGGAGAAGAGCTACAGAGGGATTAACAACCTGACAGCCCAGGATGGGTGGACCAGAGCTAAGGACCTATGGATGTGGGCTGAGGTGACCCAGAAAGACTTAAGCTCCAGGGACAGATAGCCTGCTTCCCTGTCCCTGACAGAAGAAAAGACTACTCAGGGGCCCTTCACACATCAGAAGCAGTGGTGTAGATACTTAGAAAGTTGTGTCTTTTCCTAGCTATTTCCCCCTCAGATTGCAAATTGCCTTGCCCGTATTACAGATTAATAGCCTAAAAATTTGAGACTGTACATGCTAACTCTTCAGGGATCACTGCTGGGAAACAGCTGCCCCTGGCCAGCAGGTCTGTTAGCTCTTTTGTTAGGCTCCAGCTGCCCAACTCAGGGTTCAACCCTGCTCATGAGACTTCCAGTCTGGAACACATTTTGGAAACCTAGGAAGGCTCACAGGAAGTATGTGAGCTGTCTGATGCTGGGAGCACTGTCCACACAGTTACCAAGTTAGAGCTAGGGAGGAACCAGAGAAAGCAGGAGTCCAGGGGTGCCTCTTGGGGTGAGGTACAAGGAAACAATTTAGAAGGAAAGTAGGCGAAGAGTCAAGACTACACAGCCCACACAGAGAGCTCAGTAACTACTGACCAGAAATCTCTGCTGCAGCCTTCCCTCTGAGGGTCACCCATGAGTCTAGGAGATATACATGCCTGGCAGCCAACCCAGACAAAGTCCTCTCCTCATCCTCTAGCAGCAGTCAAGGTGTCCATACTTGTAGGGAAAATTTTAAAAAGGCCGCCAAAGCGGCGCAAGCTTGCACCGCCGTGGCGGGTCCCACATCAGGGAGGAGGATTCTTATGGTTCCAGCGGCCTGAGGGCCTTGGTGGCGGCAGGCCCCAGTAACACGAGGAAGTCCTTGGTTCCAAAAAGATTTATTGTCATGACGGATAATAGATGGATCTAGGCGTATCCCCCCAAAACTCAGGGCAGTCCCGAGTTATATAGGGAGGGAGAAAGAGGGAGGATTGGGGGAGGATCTGGGGGAGGAATGTTTAATTTGCTCTGCCCTCTGGCCTTCATTAGTATGCAAATCTCTAGGGCCTGAGGCCTATAGCCTGGCCTATGTGACTCTATGGAAATGTGACTGTTTTCAGGATCCTAGATGATGGGAGGGACTGAACTCTTGCCGGTTCTCACGCAGAATTCCACGGAGAATCTCGGGGTTCTAAGTACCTGCTCAACCATGACCCAGGATACCATTATCCAGTCCCACACATACTCTACTTTCTAGTGTTTGCTTTTACCAGAGAAGAGCCCTGGGCATGAATGATGAAATACTAGGTACCTATGCTTGTTCCAAAACACAAATCATACAGCTACATAGCCCCCAGAGCCTAAAGCGGCTTTCACTGCATACACCTATGGGAAGAGAAAAATCAGAGACTGAGTGGTGGGTGGATCAGAGAGAAAATCAATGAAATGAAGAAAGATCCAGAGGTAGTGGGGAAGAAAAAAGAAAGAAGAAGAGGGGGTCAAGAGAGAGAATTAATAGATATGATGCCTACATGCAAATACTACTGTGCTAATATGAAATGAAAGAATGAGAGATCGAGGGTCAAGTCTTCTTTGTAGCAGGCTGTGGTGTCATTGATTTAGGCTTTGTGGGCTGTACAGTCTCTGTGGCAAACACTCGGCTCTGTTGGCTCTGTTGCTGTTATACAGAAAAGCACCCATAGACCAAAAATAAACAAGCCTGGCTGTGCTCTCATACAACATCACTGAAATCTGACTTGTATGTAATTTTCCTAAGTTCGAATTAGTATTCTTGTGATTTTTTTTTCAAACCATTTAAAATGTATATCATTCTTGGGTGGTGGGACAGTTTGTCTCCTTAATAAAGGGAGACAAAAAAAGGCAGGTAGAAACAAGCTGGGACAAGCAGAGACAGACAGGAAGACACAGACAAATCCTCATACAAAGAATTCTCATCCAACAGAGACATTTATACACACAAAAACAATCAAATCGACAAATACATCATATCAATGTATAAATTAGGCAAGGGCATGGGCTTTCAAGAACATATTTAGGTATTGGAAAGATGATGGCTTAGTGGCTAAGCACTTACTGTTTGTGCAGAAGACATGGGTTCAATTTTCAATGTCCCACATGGCAGTTCACAACTGTCCACAATTACAACTCTAGGAGATCCAATCCCCTCTTTAACCTGTATGAGTACCAAGCATACATGTGGTGCATGCATAGATATACATGTGAGCAAAAACACTGACACACACAAAAAATTAACAAATGAATGAATAAATAAATCCAAAAAGGAAAAACACAAAAGGTATTGTCATAGATCCAGACAGCAGAATAGACCACTATGGGGATAGATGTATGAACCCAAACACAAACCTAAGGATACAAAACCCACAGATACAAATGGGCAGAGGCTCAGACAAAAATGTATCATGCAGATATAACTCATACAGCCACAGACTGATACAGACACACACATAGGCAGTCACTGACAGGCATATTGAATTGCCCTTAGACAGACAATCACACAGAAATAAAAACATACAGAACTTTATACTTGGTGCAGATAAACACTAAGACGCACAGATCCACAGACACACGAGAACAAATAGTACTCTGACTGGCAGAACTAATAGACCGAATTCAAACATAGACAAAGAAAGAACACACCTGGCTATACAAAACACTGGCTATAACTTATGACAATGAATCATACACATTAAAATTGTTATAATGGCAAATTCCATTATGTTTTACTATTATTCTGAAACAACAATAAAACCTACAAAATCGCTGCCCTAAAAATACACAGATCCATATAGACCACCTATGCAAAAATCACATATGCTCAGATTAATACACCTCACCTCAACAGATACCCCAAGACATACTACACAGAGGACAAGGTGAGAAGAGAGGGAATGAGTGAACAGAAAAGGGAGAGAGATATGTACCCACTCATCCCCAGCACACATTACATGTCACAAGCAAAGATGAAAAACACTGAGTACAGAAGGTAACAAACAGAAGTGAGATCAGTTAACAAAGAAAAACTGAAGTGTAGACAGAGAGGTGAAGTCTCACACACTTCCGCAGTATGAACATCAACAAAATGAACAGGATGAAGTGAGGTGAGAAAGTAAAACCAAGGACAAACAACAAGACACAGCTGTAAAGCAAGAGAAAAGGGGAGAGGCCAAGGTAAAGGAAAGGACTAGACAACAGGCCAAAATAACGTATAACATCAGGGACAAGACAGGCGATAAGGGAATGGAAAAATCAAGCTTCAAATGAGGATAAACGAAGGAAGCTAAAATGGTTTAAAGGCAGCAGACAATAACTTGAGACTAGCCATGGAGGGGTGTGTGGTGGTGGGAGGGGGGTAGGAACACTATGAACCACTTCCACAGTGTGGAAGAATAGGTAAGATAACTTACTGCAAGGGCAGATCCAAAGATGTGGGTGGAGGATTCCAGGTGTCTGGGTAGCCAAGCATCCAATCTGACCAGACTTTCACACTGGGAAGCAGCTCCTTCAGGTCCGGGACAAAGGAAGATACCTTGATGTCATCTTGGTCCTCTTGGTCCTCAAGAGAGGACAGCTGAGCTGCAAAGGCAACAGATGAGAACTGGGCCTATGTGTGCTGAGTGAAACCTAGCATGCTAGGATAGCAGCAAACTCTTAGCACAGGGAGAGTAAAGTAAGTTCATAGGAAAGTAGGACTCAAAAGTGAGGACATGCACCAGCACCTCTGGGGACAAAGAGAGAACCAATAAGCTGGCTTTCTCCTGGAGACACATGCTTCTGCTTCACCTGGGGCCCAGCATAAGTCTCCACTCTGGCCTCCAGCACACTGTTTTAGAATCCTTTTAGCACAGCGCCAAGATGTCATCAGAGTTTCTGCCACAACTGCAAAACTTGAACTTAATCAGAAGGAAACATCAGAAAAACCCAAATTGTGGAACCTTCTACAAAATAAATGGCTTGTATTTCAATAATGTCAAGGTTATGAAGGACAAATGGAGATAGGTTGAAGGATACTAAAGAGATACAGCATTTAAATGCAGTGTGTGATCCTGCATTAGAACCTAGGGCAGAACCCCCCACCCCTCACCCTACATCCCAAAGAATATTGTCAGAGTTGGGCATGGTAGCACATACCTGTGATTCCAGTATTCAGGAGGCTGAGCCAGGAAAATTTTGAGCTTGAAGTCAGACTGGGCTACAGAGTGACTTTAAATGCCTCTTTCTTAACAAAGAACATTATCGGGAAAATAAGTACAAACTGAATACCGTCTATATACTCAATAATAGTACTATATCAACACTGATTTTCTAGGTTTGTTTTTTAAATTGATTTTATTTTTAATTATGTGTACTTGTGTGTATCTATATGTGGGCATCTACACATGAGTGCAGGTGCCCTTGGAAGCCAGAAAGACATCTGGATGCCCTGGAGATGGAGTTACAGGCAGTTATGAGCAATGTGAGTGCTGGGAACAAAACTTAGGTGCTCTGTGAGAGTAATATGTGCTCTTAGCCACTGAGCCATTGCTCTAGCCCAGATTCCCTTCCTTTGGCAACTGTCCTTATTTGTTTATTTTTATGCTAAGGATATAACTTAGGGCTTGTAAATGCTAGGCAAGTACTCTACCACTGAATACATCCTTAGCCCCCAGATTCTGGTAATTGTTAAGATATTGTCCTTAGTGTGAAGAAATACAAAGTCAAGTATTTAGAGCCAAAGGGCCATCATGCTTGCAGCTTAAGATCCAATGGTTCTGAACAAAAACAATAAGCACACACGTGCATGTTTAAAGACATGCTAACATATTAACTACCTGGGAGTCTAGAAAAAGCATATATAAAAGTGCTTTGAATTATCCACTTAAATTTTATTATTACTCTGTGTGTGTGTGTGTGTGTCTGTGATCTACTAAGCCATATTGCTGGCCCTATTTTTGTTTTTTTGAGGGTATCATGTAGTCCAATCTGATCTCGAACTCCCTCTCTATATAGCCAAGAGTGACCAGGAATTCTTAAGAATTCCTGAGTCACTGGGTTTATGGTCATAAGCCACTGAACTCAACTACTTTGTAAATGTGAAATTGTTTCAAAATAAATTGTTCCTACCCTTGAATAAAAGGCAACTCTAGAAGCATTTACAACACTGGTGTTATGGGACACTAGAAGGAAAAGTCTTGCTGCTTGCCAATACTGATACAGAAACCAAGACGAAGGTCTGATCTTACTCCTACCTCTCTTGGCTACAATGGTCTAAGGTAGAATTCAGGGTAAAATATAAAGGATCTGGCACAGTACCTCAAGGCAAGGCTAGGAGCACCTGCTTCGTTCAGTGAGCTCAAGACAGCTAGCCCATGGTGGGTATAGCAGCTACCACATACCAAAAAGACAGAAATACAAAAGCATAAAAACATAAAATTATGAAAACATAAAGAAACTTGTTCAATCTCTTGCACTGGGGAGATAGAAAAACAAAAGGGAAGACCCATTACGTAGTCTTCAGATCTTTTTATTTGTTTTTATATGTAATGTGTGTAGGTGTTTTTCCTGCATATATGTCTATGTGCCACTTGCATTCTTGGTCCTCAGAGGACAGAAGACAGTATCATATCTCCTGCAATTCAAGTTACTGATGGTTTTTAGCTAATATGTGGGTGTTGGGAATCAAATCTGGGTCCTCTGAAAGAGCAGCCAGTGTTCTTAACCACTGAGCCATTTCTCCAGTCCCCCTTTGGGTCTTTTTAAAGATAAAATAATAATAATAATAATAATAATAATAATAATAATAAAAGGCCAGGTGTGGTGGTGCATGCCTTTAATTCTAGCGCTGGGGAAGCAGACGCAGACAGATCTGTGAGTTTGAGGCCATCCTGGTCTATATAGAGAGTTCCAGGTCAACAAGGATTACACATTAAGAGAGACCCTGCTTATAAATGAATGAATGAAAACAAAGCCAATAAACAAACAAATATCTCACATAATAGGCAGGATGAAATTCCTAACTATTAAAGTAATAAAGGGAAGGAAGAGAGCCATAGAGAAGAAAGAGGGCCTAAGAGGCCATCAGATTACAGGCATAAATGGGCTGGCTAATGTAACAAAAGGGAGAAGAACATGCTGGAAGGACGAAGACCAGAGAGCTGGGAGAAGACTGAGCACCAGCACTCTACAGTTCATTTGGAGAGGGCTGGGCAACCGGAAAACCCAGTGGTCAGGGGCTCTCCTGCTTACCTTTGGCAGAGTCCTTAAGTAAGCATGTGCAGCGCTGGACCAGTAGAGAAAACATTGCCAAGCCCAAGGATGCAGCTTGTTCCTGGATCACAGAACGACACTCCTCTGAGAAGCAGTCTGCAAAGAAGCAAAGGAAGCTCCATCACATCCTACGAACCAAGTGCCACTCTGCTGTCCTGTGGAGGGGCTCCTTGACCACAGTGCTCAGCTTTCTTTTCTCTCTAAAATGACAGGTTGCGGCAGTAAGTTCTCTTGAAGTAGATTTATATGACTTTGTATTATATATGGAGCACTTAACAGCATGCCCTGCACACAGAAGAGTGCCTAATAAACACACAAGATCCCCATGTAAGTCTTTTAAATTTTTTTCTTATTTTTTTTGGTTTTTTGAGACAGGGTTTCTCTGTGTAGTTCTGGCTGTCCTGGAACTCACTCTGTAGACCAGGCTGGCCTCGGACTCAGAAATCCGCCTGTCTCTGCCTCCCAAGTGCTGGGATTAAAGGCGTGCGCCACCACTGCCCGGCTCTTTTTCTTATTTTTAATTAAAAAAATGCACCATTCATTACATAAACTTAAAAATTAACACAATTCAATTTTAGGCTCTTCGTGGTGTGTGTGTGTGTGTGTGTGTATAATTTAGTTTTATATACAATGGTGTGATAGTGTCAAATACCTCAGAACTGGACAGTTATAGACAGCTGTGAACTGCCATGTGGGTGCTGGGAAGTGAACTCAGGTCCTTGGGAAGAGCAGCCAGTGCTCTTAACCACTGAGCTACCTCTCCAACACTTGGGTTCTTCTTGAGTACACAATGTGAGAAATTTCTAACAGAGTGTATGTAAGAAGGAAATACCACAAAGACGCTTTCTTTTCTAGAATGCTCAAGGTTAGATCACTGAAAAAGGTGAAATCTTATATAACTAACTCAATTGTATCCTATTTTAAATTTTATTTTTAAAAATATTTTAATTCATTGATAATCGTATACATGTACATAATGTAGTCTGAGTAGATTCACTCTTTACCTCTTTTACCCCTCACCAGCCCCTCTGAACCCCTTGTAGTTCCCAACAAGTCCCCCTCTTATTTTCATATCTTTTATTTTTAATTTTTCTTTGCTTTAAAGATTTCTTAATTTTTATTTTATGTGTGTGCCACTTGCATGTAAATATGTAGACAACGTGCATGACTAAGGCTTGGGGATGCCGGACAGGGAGTCAGGCCCTCTGAGAGTTATGGACACTGTGAGCCTCCGCGTAGATGCTGGGACCCCAAACCAAGACTCTAGCCCCTTTCATTTCTTTAAAAAACATTATTCTTTGGTAACTTCATATATGAATGTATTTAGAACATATGTACCTCCCCACTCTACCCTTTTTTTTTTCAGTGACACACCAAGATTAGTTAAAGTTGCTAGTATGGACACGGGTGTAGGTTACTATTTAGTGGAGTACAAACAATTCACCATAAGCTATACCACTGATGAAAACTGATTCCTTCTCCACCTGCATAAATTCTTCATCACATCACTTTCCTAAGCCCCATTACCTCAAAGTGCACAAAATAAACAGGAGCTATAGAGTCTCTGCTTTAGTTAGCTGTTAATAATGTAAAGCTATAGTACCAAAACCTTATCTCATTAGCAGGAACACAATCAACAACAGATTCACAACTCATCTTCTTAGATCACCAGCTTTGGTTTCGGCCCTAGGCCGTCTATATTCCTCATCCTAAGACAGCACACATGAGACACAAAACCACATTAACTTATTTTTGCTGAATATATTACTTTTGTAGAAAACAATGCTTATTACGTAATGTACCAGATCAGTGTTAGCCTCGCTGCCCCTGCTACCCAGGGTTAAAAATGTCAATCTGACTTCTAATGCCAGCACCCTGGTTTCTCACTATTACAAACTGGCTTTAAGTCCCTCCTAGTTTTAGATAACTGAGAGGAACCACTCTGTTGATGGGCAGAGTAAATCTTTGGTGAGACCTTCATAATACTCCCACATCCCTACCTTTACCTACATACTATCAGTGATCTTTTCAACTGCCATTTCATCCAGTTTTGAGGGCAATAACAACATGCCAGAAGCCAGAAGTCCAGTTTCAGCCTCAGACAGGGAGACACCCAACACACACAGGATGGGGCCTAAACTCACCAGCTTTGGCAAGTAGCTAATCTGATAATCTCCTCAGTAATACGGGGAAACTCAGTCTCCAAGTGTTAAAAGGATAATTATCCACACATTTGATCTCTGCTCTGCCTGCACTTTGACCTGTCAGCTTACTAGTTTGCCAAGGACCTAAACAAGTTACTCCAGGAGATACTACACAACCACAGCTATTCCTAAATTTTCACCACAGGAGCAAGAATGACTGGAGAACACAATGCCTACCCCAAAGCACTTTCAAAGTTCTTGATGTGAGAAGCCAGCTGCTGCTCAGAAGGGCTCAACATATGAATAGCATAAGGGAGCAATCCTTCAATTGTGGTTTTTCCATCATCCTTCCAGATGCCCAATGGTCCCAATGTCACCCTTTACAACACAACTGTAGCAGGCAGTAAGGAAGTGGTAACAATCCATGAGATTAGAATAAATTATCACTCCCAGTCTTATGCTAAGATAAACCTCTGTTTAAAGAGATAGGAAACAAGAGAGTAGGTTAGATGGCTCAGTGGGTAGGGGAACTTGCCACTAAGCCTTACAACTTCAGTTACATTCCTGAAATCCACATAGTGGAAAGAGGGAACTGAGTGTGAAAAGTTGTTCTCTGGCTCCAATATCTGCAATATAGTATGTGCACCCACGGGCTTGTGCGTGCGAAGACGCACATACACACGCACACAAACCCATGATAATTTTTTCAAAAAAGAGACAAAACAACCATCTAAGCATCAAGAGGAGGAAGAATATGAGCAGAGAGAGGAAGACCTGTAACTCATCCCAAGAAAAGCTGCAGTGTCTCCCTGCTCCCTAAGCCACAGCCAGCAGCACTGGTAATCCCATTCTATCTCAGTATGGGTTCCTGCAGGCCATTACCAGCAGTGTGCCTTTACTAAGCAACAAAACTCAAAGTGAAGGAATAAGGCCAGGACAGAGGAAGATGGGAAGATGAGTAGAGGCCACATTCTGGTAGCTGAAACACTTCATCAAATTAACATCCACTGATCAACTGGACATCTTAGGCAGAAGTCACCTGCAAATGCTACAGAGATGGAGGAAGAAGTCTTTGTTCCACAAAACTGGGTATAATTCATTTCCATAGCAACAGAACTGCCAGAGGGAGACGACTTTCTCCAAGCTCATCTTAAGTTTTATGATAAACAGCTACATTATTTCTCAGAGTTCAGGGTGGGAGCTAGGACTCAAGAAGAATGAATTGCTTAAAAAGCAACGGTATCTGTGGCTTCTCAAGAGTCTGGGTTGGATACTGCTACCAGGTATGGAACCTCGATAAAAACAGGTACCTCTGGTGTAGAACTGGACAACAGCCTGAAGGCAGTTTTGCAACTACCTTGCATGGTTATTTTAACCTCTCTATCACCATGCTCTCTTAGGCAAAGGCTCCAGAGCACACTGCCTGGTTGTGTGGGTGGTCTAGCTGGAGAAAAGGCATAAATGAGGGGTCTTTTCCCCTGACTAAGCAGGTAGACATATCCCAAGCTATCCAAGAATCCCTAGACTGACCTTGCTATCTGGCAACCCTTAACAAAAGGCCTGTGTCCATGGCTTGGTCATATGACAAGCACATACTGAACATCTTTGATATGCTAAATTCAGTAGAGAACATAGCTATAAATAACTGTGGTTTTTGTAACTAAAGAATCTTTTAGTAGGTTGAATAAAATTACCATTTACCCAAGTAACTATGATAACCATTGACTCCATACATTTCAAGTGAAAAAAATGTATTGAGTATGTAGTATATTCAGGATGTTCTTGGTCTCATGCAGGCTTCTACTGAGCTAGAAATGTCAAGATACCACTCCCTGAGAGTATTCACTTATGAAAGTGGGTAGGAAAATAACATCTAGAGAGTCCAGAGCCCACCTACTTTAGGACTAGATTTAGGAACCTGGGTCTAGTCTAATGAATATGTATGTATGTATGTATGTATGTATGTATGTATGTATGTATGTATGTGTGTGTGTGTGTGTATGTGTGTATGTATGTATGTATGAATATCTGAAGTTGAGCTGGCTCAGACCAGCAAGTGATGTGGGTGGGGAGGAAAAGGCATTGTTTGCCTTGATATTTGCATGGTTCCTCTGGCTTTGTGTCAGGTAGCAGAGGCTGACATGAGCTGAGGAACTCATTAACATTGTGAAATAGCCTTTCCCCTTCTTTCCAAAAGCAGGCTTTCTTAAGGATTTAGGGGGATGGTTTTGGCTAGGGATGTCAGCCGGAAATATTTCTTACCAAGAAAGTCTGCTGAGGTCTAAAATTGGTTTTGCTCCCTCCTACAAGTGGGCAAGTGACCATACTTCCCAGTGTTCCTGTGGCCAAATACCTGCTCAGGCACAAATGTTCTTCTTGCTCCTATGTAACAGGGAGACTTTCTCATTTTTTTTGAGAACATATTCATGGAAAACATAAACCAACTGTCGTCAAAGTTGTATGAAATCAGGAAATGGGGCGGCCGGGAGAAGGCTGCCATGTGGCCGGATGTTATGTATTTCTAATTAGTGCTATACATCTTTCAACAGCAAGTGTCCTTCTGCTGGAAACACAACACACTGCCCTTGTTATTGTAACTGTCAGAGAAGTGCTTAAACAGATAATCTCCAGGAAAAGTGATAAACACGTCCCCTCTCCCACCAGTGTGTGTGTGTGTGCAACGGTGCTGCCAAAGCAAAGCTGTGCCTGATGGCTCCAGGATGGCAAAGCATCCTCTTGCAGGAAATGGGAGTGAGGCAGGAGAGGTGGGGAGGGAATAGGAGGGAAGCAGAATAGAGGCAGGCCCACCTGCTTGGACCTGTAAGCCCAGCCAAGAGACAGTGACTCAGAATCACTGGTTTTGATCAACTCCTGGGAGAAGGTATCAAGTCTTTGTAAGGGAGAGATTTGGAGAAAACCCTAGTAGTTGGATGGGGTTTGGCTGGTCATAGA